TTATTGGCATACTGTAAGTGTCGATATGACAGTCAAACATAGTCCATTATTGGCATACTGTAAGTGTTGATATGACAGTCAAACATAGTCCATTATTGGCATACTGTAAGTGTTGATATGACAGTCAAACATAGTCCATTATTGGCATACTGTAAGTGTTGATATGACAGTCAAACATAGTCCATTATTGGCATACTGTAAGTGTTGATATGACAGTCAAACATGGTCCATTATTGGCATACTGTAAGTGTTGATATGACAGTCAAACATAGTCCATTATTGGCATACTGTAAGTGTTGATATGACACAGTCAAACATAGTCCATTATTGGCATACTGTAAGTGTTGATATGACACAGTCAAACATAGTCCATTATTGGCATACTGTAAGTGTTGATATGACAGTCAAACATAGTCCATTATTGGCATACTGTAAGTGTTGATATGACAGTCAAACATAGTCCATTATTGGCATACTGTAAGTGTTGATATGACAGTCAAACATAGTCCATTATTGGCATACTGTAAGTGTCGATATGACAGTCAAACATAGTCCATTATTGGCATACTGTAAGTGTTGATATGACAGTCAAACATAGTCCATTATTGGCATACTGTAAGTGTCGATATGACAGTCAAACATAGTCCATTATTGGCATACCGTAAGTGTTGATATGACAGTCAAACATAGTCCATTATTGGCATACTGTTCAGGTTCAGGCTGAGGCTCAGAAACAGAAGATTACTCATCAGAGAGGATTCATTTCTTCCCCACTATCGGAGTGGTTTTCATTGAGATTTTGTAGCAACGCTAACGCAGCCTGTGCATCCATTGGTCTTGGTCTTCTCACCATTGGAAATGACACACGCTCTCACTGTGTCCTCCAATTAGGCCAGAGTACTGATAAGACTGCTTGGATTTACTGGACTGGTATAGGGTACCATTTTGAGGTCATAATTCCCTCGTTCATCAACTCATCCATTCTCCCCCTTCACACTTTATTTCATTTATTTCAGCGGTTATATGTGTGAAATTACACTGAACAAAAATATAAACGCAACATGTAAAGTGTTGGTCCCATGTTTCATGAGCTGAAATAAAAGATCCCAGAAATGTTCCATACACACAAAGCTTATTTCTCTCAAATGATGTGCACAAATGTGTTTACATCCCTGTTAGTGAGCATTTCTCCTTTGCAAAGATAATCCATCCACCTGACAGGTGTGGCATATCAAGAAGCTGATTAAACAGCATGTTCATTACACAGGTGCACCTTGTGCTGGGGACAATAAAAGGCCACTAAAATGTGCAGTTTTGTCACACAACACAATGCCACAGATGTCTCAAGTTTTGAGGGAGCGTGCAATTGGCATGCTGACTGCAGGAATGTCCACCAGAGCTGTTGCCAGAGAATTTAATGTATCTTTCTCTACCATAAGCCACCTCCAGCGTAATTTTTTTTTTGGGGGGGGGGGGGGGTGCTGAGGAGTAGTTCTGTCTGTAATAAAGCCCTTTTGTGGGGAAATATCATTCTGATTGGCTGGGCCTGGCTCCCCAGTGGGTGGGCCCCTGCCCAGTGGCTGGGCCTGGCTGCCCAGTGGCTGGGCCTGGCTCCCCAGTGGGTGGGCCCCTGCCCAGTGGCTGGGCCTGGCTCCCCAGTGGGTGGGCCCCTGCCCAGTGGCTGGGCCTGGCTCCCCAGTGGGTGGGCCCCTGCCCAGTCATGTGAAATCCATAGATTAGGGCCTAATGACTTTATTTCAATTGACTGAGTTGTTTATATGAACTGTAACTCAGCAAAATCTTTGATATTGTTGCGTTTATTTTTTATTCAGTATAGTTTCGGTATAGTTTAGGTTCAGTTTTCAAGGTCATTATCCACTGTAGGGAGAAGGAGCGGAGCAGGCCCTACTGTCAGGAGAAGGAGCGGAGCAGGCCCTACTGTCAGGAGAAGGAGCGGAGCAGGCCCTACTGTCAGGAGAAGGAGCGGAGCAGGCCCTACTGTCAGGAGAAGGAGCGGAGCAGGCCCTACTGTCAGGAGGAGGAGCGGAGCAGGCCCTACTGTCAGGAGAAGGAGCGGAGCAGGCCCTACTGTCAGGAGAAGGAGGGGAGCAGGCCCTACTGTCAGGAGAAGGAGGGGAGCAGGCCCTACTGTCAGGAGAAGGAGGGGAGCAGGCCCTACTGTCAGGAGAAGGAGCGGAGCAGGCCCTACTGTCAGGAGAAGGAGCGGAGCAGGCCCTACTGTCAGGAGAAGGAGCGGAGCAGGCCCTACTGTCAGGAGAAGGAGCGGAGCAGGCCCTACTGTCAGGAGGAGGAGCGGAGCAGGCCCTACTGTCAGGAGAAGGAGGGGCAACGGGGGAAACCATTCATAAAATGACGTGCCCTCCTAAAACTGCTTCCAACTCCAGTTCTGTTTGCGACATTAAGATTCTAACAGCAGTGTGTTATATAGACCTGTTATGGGTCCTGGTCAAAGGTCGTGCACTATATAGGGAATAGGGTGCCATTTGGATGGAACAATAAGAAACAATAAATAAATAAATAAATAAATAAATAAATAGTGTACATACCAGAACGGTGTAGATGTGGAGACATCTGTAAACAGGAGAGAAGTCCACCAGATCCTGGGCTGTTAACACCTGGGAGGTTAAACCACGTTACGTTAGTGAACCACAGTCAGGAATCAGGAGGTTAAACCACGTTACGTTAGTGAACCACAGTCAGGAATCAGGAGGTTAAACCACGTTACGTTAGTGAACCACAGTCAGGAATCAGGAGGTTAAACCACGTTACGTTAGTGAACCAGTCAGGAATCAGGAGGTTAAACCACGTTACGTTAGTGAACCAGTCAGGAATCAGGAGGTTAAACCACGTTACGTTAGTGAACCACAGTCAGGAATCAGGAGGTTAAACCACGTTACGTTAGTGAACCACAGTCAGGAATCAGGAGGTTAAACCACGTTACGTTAGTGAACCACAGTCAGGAATCAGGAGGTTAAACCACGTTACGTTAGTGAACCACAGTCAGGAATCAGGAGGTTAAACCACGTTACGTTAGTGAACCACAGTCCGGAATCAGGAGGTTAAACCACGTTACGTTAGTGAACCAGTCAGGAATCAGGAGGTTAAACCATGTTACGTTAGTGAATCACAGTCAGGACTCAGGAGGTTAAACCATGTTACGTTAGTGAACCAGTCAGGAATCAGGAGGTTAAACCATGTTACGTTAGTGAATCACAGTCAGGACTCAGGAGGTTAAACCATGTTACGTTAGTGAACCAGTCAGGAATCAGGAGGTTAAACCACGTTACGTTAGTGAACCACAGTCAGGAATCGGGAGGTTAAACCACGTTACGTTAGTGAATCACAGTCAGGAATCAGGAGGTTAAACCACGTTACGTTAGTGAACCAGTCAGGAATCAGGAGGTTAAACCACGTTACGTTAGTGAACCACAGTCAGGAATCAGGAGGTTAAACCACGTTACGTTAGTGAACCACAGTCAGGAATCAGGAGGTTAAACCACGTTACGTTAGTGAACCACAGTCAGGAATCAGGAGGTTAAACCACGTTACGTTAATGAACCAGTCAGGAATCAGGAGGTTAAACCACGTTACGTTAGTGAACCAGTCAGGAATCAGGAGGTTAAACCATGTTACGTTAGTGAACCAGTCAGGAATCAGGAGGTTAAACCACGTTACGTTAGTGAACCACAGTCAGGAATCAGGAGGTTAAACCACGTTACGTTAGTGAACCACAGTCAGGAATCAGGAGGTTAAACCACGTTACGTTAGTGAACCACAGTCAGGAATCAGGAGGTTAAACCACGTTACTTTAGTGAACCACAGTCAGGAATCAGGAGGTTAAACCATGTTACGTTAGTGAACCAGTCAGGAATCAGGAGGTTAAACCATGTTACGTTAGTGAACCACAGTCAGGAATCAGGAGGTTAAACCACGTTACGTTAGTGAACCACAGTCAGGACTCAGGAGGTTAAACCATGTTACGTTAGTGAACCAGTCAGGAATCAGGAGGTTAAACCATGTTACGTTAGTGAACCAGTCAGGAATCAGGAGGTTAAACCACGTTACGTTAGTGAACCACAGTCAGGACTCAGGAGGTTAAACCATGTTACGTTAGTGAACCAGTCAGGAATCAGGAGGTTAAACCACTTTACGTTAGTGAACCAGTCAGGACTCAGGAGGTTAAACCACGTTACGTTAGTGAACCAGTCAGGAATCAGGAGGTTAAACCATGTTACGTTAGTGAACCAGTCAGGAATCAGGAGGTTAAACCACGTTACGTTAGTGAATCACAGTCAGGAATCAGGAGGTTAAACCACGTTACGTTAGTGAATCACAGTCAGGAATCAGGAGGTTAAACCACGTTACGTTAGTGAATCACAGTCAGGAATCAGGAGGTTAAACCATGTTACGTTAGTGAATCACAGTCAGGAATCAGGAGGTTAAACCACGTTACTTTAGTGAACCACAGTCAGGAATCAGGAGGTTAAACCACGTTACGTTAGTGAATCACAGTCAGGAATCAGGAGGTTAAACCACGTTACGTTAGTGAACCAGTCAGGAATCAGGAGGTTAAACCACGTTACGTTAGTGAACCACAGTCAGGAATCAGGAGGTTAAACCACGTTACGTTAGTGAACCACAGTCAGGAATCAGGAGGTTAAACCACGTTACGTTAGTGAATCACAGTCAGGAATCAGGAGGTTAAACCACGTTACGTTAGTGAACCAGTCAGGAATCAGGAGGTTAAACCACGTTACGTTAGTGAACCAGTCAGGAATCAGGAGGTTAAACCACGTTACGTTAGTGAATCACAGTCAGGAATCAGGAGGTTAAACCATGTTACGTTAGTGAACCACAGTCAGGACTCTGTGTCATTCACTCATTTCAAGAGTTTCATGATCACTTTGGCTCTTCTTCCAAATCATTTACAGGGTGCGTTCACATTAAGTGTGGATAACGTCAATGTACGTGTTGTTTTAATACTTGACCAAAGAGTATGAAAAGTTCCTTTGTGAAGAGTCCTCTCTCACCTCCTCCTCTGATTGGTCCTCCTCCGCGGCGAGGCCGTTGTTCTGCGTTGGCGTCTGGCCGTTCAGGGAGGAGCCTGGCTTGGTGAAGCCCATCCCACTGTCCTGCTTCTGAACCACACTGTTAAACGTCCTGTGCTGCTGTACCTGGGCGGTGAGCACAACACAGTCACACCTCTCTCCTGCTCACAGGACGCTTCCAAAGCTTCCTAGCACAAGATCAAACATCTTTGGTCCATTTTCTCCAATAGATTTATGATGATCTTAGTGCTACAAAGCTCCAGGGGAAGCTCCAGGGGAAGCTCCCCCCCAGAATAAAAGAGCACAGTAAGCAGTTCATATCACCACACCAAGAGCACCCCTCCCTCCCTCCCTCCCTCCCTCCCTCCCTCCTCCCCTCCATCCCTGCCTCCCTGCCTCCCTCCCTGCCTCCCTCCCTGCCTCCATCCCTCCCTCCCTCCCTCCCTCCCTCCCTCCCTCCATCCGTCCGTCTCATACCCGTCTTATACCCGTCTCATACCCGTCTCATACCCGTCTCATTGCTGCCTGTTTCTATACAATAACAACAGTCTCATACCTGTTTCATGGCGGTCTCTCCGATCCTGTCCGAGTGTTTCCTGATGCTCTCCAGGAAGTCCTTGAGGTCGGACATGGAGATGTCCTTAATGTCCTCTCTGAGCTTGGGCAGGTTCTCGGCCATGATCTGACAGAAGCGGTATCGGCCGACCCGGGGGATGGAGACCTTCTCCAGCTGCTCCATGGTCTTCAACGCAGCATAGTACCTGGAAGACAGACACCTCTCTAGTCTGGAGTACCTGGAAGACAGACACCTCTCTCTAGTCTGGAGTACCTGGAAGACAGACACCTCTCTAGTCTGGAGTACCTGGAAGACAGACACCTCTCTAGTCTGGAGTACCTGGAAGACAGTCACCTCTCTCTAGTCTGGAGTACCTGGAAGACAGACACCTCTCTAGTCTGGAGTACCTGGAAGACAGACACCTCTCTAGTCTGGAGTACCTGGAAGACAGACACCTCTCTAGTCTGGAGTACCTGGAAGACAGACACCTCTCTCTAGTCTGGAGTACCTGGAAGACAGACACCTCTCTAGTCTGGAGTACCTGGAAGACAGACACCTCTCTAGTCTGGAGTACCTGGAAGACAGACACCTCTCTAGTCTGGAGTACCTGGAAGACAGACACCTCTCTCTAGTCTGGAGTACCTGGAAGACAGACACCTCTCTAGTCTGGAGTACCTGGAAGACAGACACCTCTCTAGTCTGGAGTACCTGGAAGACAGACACCTCTCTAGTCTGGAGTACCTGGAAGACAGACACCTCTCTCTAGTCTGGAGTACCTGGAAGACAGACACCTCTCTAGTCTGGAGTACCTGGAAGACAGACACCTCTCTAGTCCTGGAGTACTGGAAGGACAGACACCTCTTCTAGTCTGGAGTACCTGGGAAGACAGACACCTCTCTAGTCTGGAGTGACCTGGAAGACAGACACTCTCTCTAGTCTGGAGTACCGGAAGACAGACCACCTCTCTAGTCTGGAGTACCTGGAAGACAGACACCTCTCTAGTCTGGAGTACCTGGAGACAGACACCTCTCTAGTCTGGAGTACCTGGAAGACAGACACCTCTCTCTAAGTCTGGAAGTACTCTGGGAAGACAAGACACCTCTCTAGTCTGGAGTACCTGGAAGACAGACACCTCTCTCTAGTCTGGAGTAACTGGAAGACAGACACCTCTCTAGTCTGGAGAGTACCTGGAAGACAGACACCTCTCTAGTCTGGAGTACCTGGAAGACAGACACCTCTCTCTAGTCTGGAGTACCTGGAACGACAGCCACCTCTCTTAGTCTGGAGTACCTGGAAGACAGACACCTCTCTAGTCTGGAGTACTGGAAGACAGACACCTCTTCTAGTCTGGAGTCTAGTCTGGAGTACCTGGAAGACAGACACCTCTCTAGTCTGGAGTACCTGGAAGACAGACACCCTCTCTCTAGTCTGGAGTACCTGGAAGACAGACACCTCTCTAGTCTGGAGTACCTGGAAGACAGACACCTCTCTAGTCTGGAGTACCTGGAAGACAGACACCTCTCTCTAGTCTGGAGTACCTGGAAGACAGACACCTCTCTCTAGTCTGGAGTACCTGGAAGACAGACACCTCTCTAGTCTGGAGTACCTGGAAGACAGACACCTCTCTAGTCTGGAGAAACCTGGAAGACAGACACCTCTCTAGTCTGGAGTACCTGGAGACAGACACCTCATCTCTGCTGGAGTACTGGAAGACAGACACCTCTCTCTAGTCTGGAGTACCTGGAAGACAGACACCTCTCTCTAGTCTGGAGTACTGGAAGACAGACACCTCTCTCTAGTCTGGAGTACCTGGAAGACAACCTCTCTCTAGTCTGAAGTACCTGGAAGACAGACACCTCTCTCTAGTCCTGGAGTACCTGGAAGACAGACACCTCTCTCTAGTCTGGAGTACCTGGAAGACAGACACCTCTCTCTAGTCTGGAGTACCTGGAAGACAGACAACCCTCTCTCTAGTCTTGGAGTACCTGGAAGACAAGACACCTCTCCTAGTCTGGAGTACCTGGAAGACAGACACCCTCTCTCTAGTCTGGAGTACCTGAGACACGACCCCTCTCTCTAGTCTGGAAGTACCCTGGAAAAAGACAGACACCCTCTCTCTAGTCTGGGAGTACCTGGAGACACGACACCTCTCTCTAGTCTGGAGTACCTGGAAGACAGACACCTCTCTCTAGTCTGGAGTACCTGGAAGGACAGACACCTCTCTCTAGTCTGGAGTACCTGGAAGACCAGACACCTCTCTCTAGTCTGGAGTACCTGAAAGACAGACACCTCTCTCTAGTCTGGAGTACCTGGAAGACAGACACCTCTCTCTAGTCTGGAGTACCTGGAAGACAGACACCTCTCTCTAGTCTGGAGTACCTGGAAGACAGACACCTCTCTAGTCTGGAGTACCTGGAAGACAGACACCTCTCTAGTCTGGGTTACCTGAAAAGTCTGGAGTACCTGAAAAGACAGACACCTCTCTCTAGTCTGGAGTAACCTGGAAGACAGACAACCTCTCTCTAGTCTGGAGTACCTGGAAAGACAGACACCTCTCTCTAGTCTGGAGTACCTGGAAGACAGACACCCTCCTCTAGTCTGGAGTAACCTGGAAGACAGACACCTCTCTATTCTGGAGTACCTGGAAGACAACACCTCTCTCTAGTCTGGAGTAACCTGGAAGACAGACACCTCTCTCTAGTCTGGAGTACCTGGAAGACGACCAAACCTCTCTCTAGTCTGGAGTACTGGAAGACAGACACCTCTCTCTAGTCTGGAGTACCTGGAAGACATACACCTCTCTCTAGTCTGGAGTACCTGGAAGACAGACACCTCTCTCTAGTCTGGAGTACCTGAAGACAGACACCTCTCTCTAGTCTGGGATACCTGGAGAAGACACGACCTGGAAGACAGACACCTCTCTCTAGTCTGGAGTACCTGGAAGACAGACACCTCTCTCTGTCTGGAGTACCTGGAAGACAGACACCTCTCTCTAGTCTGGAGTACCTGGAAGACAGACACCTCTCTCTAGTCTGGAGTACCTGGAAGACAGACACCTCTCTCTAGTCTGGAGTACCTGGAAGACAGACACCTCTCTCTAGTCTGGATACCTGGAAGACAGACACCTCTCTCTAGTCTGGAGTACCTGGAAGACAGACACCTCTCTAGTCTGGAGTACCTGGAAGACAGACACCTCTCTCTAGTCTGGAGTACCTGGAAGACAGACACCTCTCTCTAGTCTGGAGTACCTGGAAGACACGACACCTCTCTCTAGTCTGGAGTACCTGGAAGACAGACACCTCTCTCTAGTCTGGAGTACCTGGAAGACAGACACCTCTCTCTAGTCTGGAGTACCTGGAAGACAGACACCTCTCTCTAGTCTGGAGTACCTGGAAGACAGGCACCTCTCTCTAGTCTCGAGTACCTGGAAGACAGACACCTCTCTCTAGTCTGGAGTACCTGGAAGACAGACACCTCTCTCTAGTCTGGAGTACCTGAAAGACAGACACCTCTCTCTAGTCTGGAGTATCTGAAAGACAGACACCTCTCTCTAGTCTGGAGTATATAAAAGACAGACACCTCTCTCTAGTCTGGTTGGCTTTCATACTGTTACTGTACAAATGGTTTCCATTCACTCTGTTGATCGAGGTTTTTATTACTGAAAACACTCAATCCTGTATTCGTTAAGGATGATTAGATATCGGAGGACGAATGAATACTGTATCGGTAAATAAGCTTGAAAGAGGGAAACGTGTACTAGTTGAAATATACTGGTTGTGGCGCCACACAGTAGATTGTCTTTATCAGTGTTGCAGAGTAAAGGATTGTTTGTGTGAAAGGGCTGGGTGGTGTTTACTGTGAGTGGCATGACAGGTCACCATGTCCTAACCCACTGATGACATCACACATAATAACACCATGTCCTAACCCACTGATGACATCACACATAATAACACCATGTCCTAACCCACTGATGACATCACACATAATAACACCATGTCCTAACCCACTGATGACATCACACATAATAACACCATGTCCTAACCCACTGATGACATCACACATAATAACACCATGTCCTAACCCACTGATGACATCACACATAATAACACCATGTCCTAACCCACTGATGACATCACACATAATAACACCATGTCCTAACCCACTGATGACATCACACATAATAAACACCATGTCCTAACCCACTGATGACATCACACATAATAACACCATGTCCTAACCCACTGATGACATCACACATAATAACACCATGTCCTAACCCACTGATGACATCACACATAACCCAGCGGTTCCCAACCTTTATCATTTACTGTCCCACCAACTGAATGTAGCTCTGCCTGGATGACCCCTGAACTTCCCCCTCCTGCAGTTTACCTGTAAGTCTATGGTCTCATGGGTCTTCTCAAACACCCCATGTGGATAGGCCAAGTACCCCTAGATGGGAACCACTGTCCTAAACAGTATGAGGGCTATTTTATAATATAATAATAATATGCCATTTAGCAGACGCTTTTATCCAAAGCGACTTACAGTCATGCGTGCATACATTTTTTGTGTATGGGTGGTCCCGGGGATCGAACCCATTACCTTGGCGTTACAAGCGCCGTGCTCTACCAGCTGAGCTACAGAGGACCACATATTTTGACCAAACCAGTCACCCCAACAGCCTTTTTAAAAGGGAACCGTGTGTGCATGCTAGTCAAGTGTGTGTGTTCATCCAGTGTGTGTGTGTGTGTGTGTGTGTGTGTGTGTGTGTAGGTGTTTGTTCAGTGTGTGTATGTTTGGCCCAGTGTGTCCCCTGCCTAGTGTGTCCCCTGCCCAGTGTGTCCCCTGCCCAGTGTGTCCCCTGCCCAGTGTGTCCCCTGCCCAGTGTGTGTATGTTTGGCCCAGTGTGTCCCCTGCCTAGTGAGTGTATGTTTGGCCCAGTGTGTCCCCTGCCCAGTGTGTCCCCTGCCCAGTGTGTCCCCTGCCCAGTGTGTCCCCTGCCTAGTGAGTGTATGTTTGGCCCAGTGTGTCCCCTGCCCAGTGTGTCCCCTGCCCAGTGTGTCCCCTGCCCAGTGTGTCCCCTGCCCAGTGTGTCCCCTGCCCAGTGTGTCCCCTGCCCAGTGTGTCCCCTGCCCAGTGTGTCCCCTGCCTAGTGAGTGAGTTGTTCCATGTGAACCGTAGTTCATTCCCATTGTGATTAGGCCATGTCCCAGGCTGGTCATTAGTGCTGACAGGAGACCCACAGAGAAACACTGGTATAATTGACTTCACTGGGACCGAGACATAGAGTTAGATAGAGAACGCCTGCCATAGAGTCAGATAGAGAACGCCTGCCACAAGCCTGTTTCAGCACGGGGAGCACCGCTGAAGGATGAAGTATTTATACAGTAGTTAACTGGGTGTGATTTGCTATGGTTACGGAGGGATCACAGAGGGGCCAGTCAGTGAACTGTACTCCTGAGCAAACGCTCCAGTACTGCAGGGGGCATTATGTCTGGTCAGACTACACACTCCAGGGGGCGGTATAGGCCTTCCCCTTTTCAGTTTGTCTACCAATAAACGTATAGAAGAAGAAGAAATGGAGGTCTAGTTTAAAATGGAGAATTCCCTCAATGGCGCTGCCCATGCTGTCACAGAAGCGATCGATGGCAAAGCGAGGGTCTCTTTCCAACTCTCTGGCCGGCGCCTGTGACAGCAGTGTTGTCTAGGAGACCGCTGTGCTGTGAAGAAGGTTACACAATAGGTCAACTGTCCTGCGTTTGAATGGTGACCTCTCCCTATGATGTGTTATGACTGATTAAACAGACAATAAGTGACAAGGAAGGGTCATTACTGTCCGGTTCAGCGTGAGCTTCCCTTCCCCTCTGCTTGGTTCCACGGAAATAGTTTCAAATCAGATTTCTGTGAAATATGTCAAGATAGCTTGCCTTTTGTTTATGAGCTATACTGAGCCAGAGTGGGTTTCTATGAAAGAGTTAGGGTGTTACTGTCTAAAGCGCCATGTTATCTAGAGAGAGTGACTTTATTGTTAATATATTGCGGTGGAGTAACATTGATGACAACAATGAACATAGTGAGGAGAGTAAGGAAGTGCAGTTACCTTTTAGATTCAAGCTGCTCCTTCAATTTACTGTACATTTCTAACACTGCAAAGGAAGAAATAAGAGAGGAGAGTTAGCTTTTAGAACAGAAAGTAGAGGAGGGAGAGTTAGCTTTTAGAACAGAAAGAATATTGGAGAGTGTGCTTTTAAACGAAATAAGAGCTAGGAAGGTAGTCTTTTAGAACAGCAAGAAGAGAGGGAGGTAGCTTTTAGAAAACATAAAAGAAAGAGGGGAGGTAGCTTTTAGAATCATAAAGAAGAGATTTGAGAGTAGCTGTTTAGAACAGAACGAAGAAGGGGGAGAGGTACGTTTTAAACAGAAGTAGATCGGGGGTAGGTAGCGTTTAGAACAAAAGAAATGTGGGAAGGGTACTTTTAGAACAGAAATAATATAGGGATAGGTAGCTTTTTAGAACAAAAAGAGAGATGGCATAGGGTAGCATTTTTAGAACAGAAAAAGAAGGAGAGGTAAGCTTTTTAGAACAGAAATAAAAAAGAAGAGTTCGCTTTTAGAAACAGAAAGAAGAGATGAAGGTACTTTTAAAAACCTAAAGAAGAGAGGGTGAGAGGATAGCTTTTAGAACGAAGAAGATGGGAGAGGTATCTTTAGCACGAAAGAAGAGAGGAGAGGTACTTATAGAAGAAGAAGAGAGGGGAAGAGGTAGACTTTTAGAACCAGAAAGAAGAGAGTGGAAGGTAAGCTTTTGAACAGAAAGAAGAGTGGTACGGTTGCTTTGTAGAACAGAAGAAGAGGGGAGATGTAGCTTTTAGAACAGAAAGACGAGCGAGAGGTAGCTTTTAGAACAAAAGAAAAGGGGATAGGTAGCTTTTATAACAGAACGGAAGGAGGGTAGAGGTAGCTTTTAGAACAGAAAGAAGTGAGAGAGAGTTATCTTTTAGAACATAAAGAAAGATAGGGGGAGAGGTAGCTTTTAGAACAGAACGAAGAGTGTAAGGGAGCTTTTAAAACAGAAGAAGAGAGGTTAGAGGTCTTGTAGAACAGACATAAGAGGGACGAGGTATCTTTTAGACAGAAAGAAGATAGGGAATAGGTAGCTTTAGAACAAAAAGAACGGTGAGAGGTAGGCTTGTAGAAAGCGAACTAGAAAGAGGGGAGATGTAGTTTTAGAACAGAAAGAAGAGAGGGGATCGGTATCTGTTAGAACATAAAGAAGAGTGGAGAGGTCGTTTTAGAACAGAAGAAGAGAGGGAGATGTAGCCTTTAGAACGAAAGAAAGGGAATAGTAGCTTTAGAACAGAAAGAAGCGAGGGGAGAGGTAGCTTTTAGAAACAAAAGAAGAGAGGTAGAGTTAGCTTTTTAGAACAGAAAAGAAGAAGGAGAGGTGCGGTTATAACGAAGAGAGAGGGGAGAGGGTACTTTTAGAACATAAATACGAGGGGAGAGGTAGCTTTTAGAACAGAAAGAAGAGGGAATATGTAGTTTTAAAACAGAAAGCAGAGTGGAGAGGTTAGCTTTGAGACAGAAATAAGAGAGGGGAGAGGTACTTTTGAGAACAGACAGAAGAGGGGGTGATAGGTAGCTTTTAGAACAGAAAGAAAGGGAGATGTTAGCTTTAGAACCAGAAAGAATAGAGGAGAGGTTAAGCTTTTCGAACAGAAAAAAGTAGTGGCAGGGTAGCTTTTATAACAGAAGAAGAGTGGTAGAGTTAGCTTTTAGAACATAAATAAGAGAGGGGAGAGGTGCGTTTAGAACATAAGAAGAGGGGGAGGTAGCTTTTAAGAACATAACGAGAGAGGGGGTAGGTATCTTTTAGAACATAAGATAGTGGGAGAGGTCGCTTTATTTAGAACATAAAGAATAGGGGAGAGGTAGCTTGTTTAGAACATAAAGAACAGATGAAGGTAGCTTTTAGAGAACATGAAAGAAGAGGGGAGAGGTACGCTTTTATGAAAAAAAGAAGAGTAGAGTGCTTTTGGAACATAAGAAGAGGGGAGAGTTAGCTTTTAGAACAGAAAAGAATAGAGGGTCGAGTTGCTTTTAGAACAGAAAGAAGAGAGGGCAGAGGTAGCTTTTAGAACATAAAGAAGAGGGGAGAGGTAGCTTTTAGAACAGAAAGACGAGTTAGAGGTAGCTTTTGTTAGAGAACAGAAAAAGAGAGGGGAATAGGTACCTTTTAGACATAAATCCGATAGGGGGAGATTTAGCTTTTTAGAACAGAAAGAAGAGAGGGGAGAGGTAGCTTTTAGAACAGAAAGAAGAGAGGGGAGAGGTAGCTTTTAGAACAGAAAGAAGAGGGGAGAGGTAGCTTTTAGAACAGAGAAGTAAGAGAGGAGAGGTAGCTTTTAGAACAGAAAGAAGAGGGGAGAGGTAGCTTTTAGAACAGAAAGAAGAGAGGGGGAGAGGTAGCTTTTAGAACAGAAAGAAGATAGGGGAGAGGTAGCTTTTAGAACAGAAAGAAGAGGGAGAGGTAGCTTTAGAACATAAATAAGAGAGGTCTAAGAGGTAGCTTTTAGAACATAAAAGGATGAGATGTATCTTTTAGAACATAAATAAAGAGAGGAATGTACTTTAGAACAGAGAAGAGAGGGGAGAGGTAGCTTTTAGACATCAAGAAGAGAGGAGAGGTAGCTTTTTAGAACAGAAAGCAGAGGGGAGAGTGCGTTTATAACAAAAGAACGAGGTGTAGAGGTAGCTTTAGAACAGAAAGAAGAAGGAGATGTGTACTTTTAGAACAGAAATAAGAGAGGGGAAGAGGTACTTTTAGTAACAGAAAGAAGGAGGGTGAGAGGTAGCTTTTATAACAGAAAGAAGATAGGGGAGATTTACTTTTAGACCAGAATAAGAGAGGGGAGGTAATCTTTAGACAGAAAGAAGAGGGAGATTTAGTCTTTTAGAACCTAAAGAAGAGAGAGGTCGCTTTTAAACAGAAAGAATAAAGGGTATAGGTATCTTTTAGACAGAAAAAGAGAGGAGAGGTACTTTTATAACCGAAATAAGAGATGGCAGAGGTGCTTTTAGAATCATAAATATAGAGGGGAAGAGTTATTTTTATAAACAAGAAGATAGAGTTGAGATGGTAGCTTTTTAGAACAGAAGAAGAGGACAGGTAGCTTTTAGACAGAAATAAGAAGTGTAGAGGTAAGCTTGTTCAGAACAGAAAGAATCAGGGTAGCAGTTCTGCTTTTCGAACAGACAGACTAGAGTTGATGAGGTAACTATTTTAAGAACTAAGTAAGAGAGGGGAAGGTGCTTTTAGAACGAGAATAGAGGGGAGAGGTAGCCTTTTATAACAGAAAGAAGACGAGGGGAGAAGGTATCTTTTAGAAACATCAGCAGAGGGGAATTAGCTTTTATCACAAAAGAAGAGGTTGGAGAGGTAGCTTTTATAACAGAAAATTAGGAATATGTTAGCTTTTTCTAAAGGTAAAGAAGAGGGAGAGGTCTCTTTTATAACAGAAAGGAAATAGAGGGGGAGATGTAAGCTTTTCGAACAGACGAAATAGGGGGGCTAGGTATCTTTAGAACGAAAGAAAGAGGGGAGGTTCTTTGATAACAGAAGATTAATAAGGAGAGGTTAGCGTTTTTAAACAGAAAGCAGATATGGTCAGCGTGTCTCGTTTATTGTAGACAGGGAAAGAAGGATAGTGAGGGAGCTTTTAGAACAGAAAGAAGAGGGGAGAGGTAGCTTTTAGAACAGAAAGAAGAGGGGAGAGGTAGCTTTTAGAACAGAAAGAAGAGAGGGGAGAGGTAGCTTTTTTACTAACAGAAAGAGAGAGGGGAAAGGTAAGCTTTATAACAGAAAGAAGAGAGAGGGGAGATGTCAAATCTTTTAGAACAGAAAAAGAAAGGGAGAAGGTAGCTTTAGAACAGTAAAAGAAGAGGGGAGGGTAGCCATTTTAGAAACAGAAAGAATTAGAAGATGGGAGATGTAGTCTTTTAAGAACAGAGAGTAGAGGGGAGAGGTAGTTTTAGAACAGAAAGAAGAGGGGATAGTAAAGCGTTTTTAGAACAGAAAACGAGAGGGGAGAGGTACGTTTAGACAGAAAGAAGAAGGAGAGGTAGTTCTTTTTAGAACAGAAGAAGAAAGGAGATTTCGCGTTTATGCACAGAAGAAGCAAGGCGTGTAGCTTTAGAACAGAAATACAGAGGGAGAGAGGTCGCTTTTATAACAGAAGAAGAGGGTAGCGGTATCTTTGAACAGAAATCAGTATAGGGGAGAGGTAGCTTTTAGAACAAAAGAAGAAGTTGATAGGTAGCTTTTAGAACATAAATAAGAGAGGAGAGTGAGCATTTTAGAGAACCGAAATACTAGGGGAGAGGTACTTTTATAATCAGAAAGAAGAGATTGGGATAGGTCAGCTTTTAGAACAGAAGAAAAAAGGAGAGTAGCTTTTAGAACAGAAATAAGATAGAAGTTGGCTTTAGAAACAGTAAAAAAGAAAGGATAGTTATCTGTTTAGAACATAAAATGGAGCTAGGGGAGAGGTAGCTTTAGAACAGAAAAGAAGATGGGAGAGGTAGCTTTTATAACAGAAAGAAGCTTATTGGGGAGAGGTAGCTTTTTATAACGAAAGAAGAGAGGTGGCATCGGTCGCTTTTAGAAACAGAAAGCATACGCGGGTGATACGTGTAGCCTTTTAGAACAGAAAAAAGAGGGGAGAGGTATCCTTTTATAACAGAAAGAAGAGGGGGTGCGAGGTAGCTTTTAGCACAAAAGCAATGGGCGCTGTCGCTTTGTAGCCTCACGACTCGCTTAATAAGGTCGCTTTTAGAAAGAACGAACGAGGTGAGAGGTCGCTTTGTAGACCCAGACAAGAAGCAGCGGGGAGCGGTAGCTTTTCTCCCCCTACCGCCGCGTCGCTGTTTAGACAGAGAGAATAGTGGGAGCGGTAGCTTTTAACCATAAAGTACGAGGGAGAGGTAGCTTTTTGAACAGAAAGAAGAAAGGAGAGGTAGCTTTTAGAACAGAAAGAAGAGGGGAGAGGTAGCTGTTAGAACAGAAAGAAGCAAGGAGAGGTAGCTTTTAGAACAGAAGAAGAGGGGAGAGGTAGCTTTTAGAACAGAAAAGAGGGAGAGGTAGCTT